CATATTTATAGGAACGTTTTTCTTATTTTCATATGTAGTATTACCCCTCAAAGTCCGGTACACTATTTTTTTTACACCGTGTATATACAATTAATCTATTAATTTTTTGGAGTTTCAACTTTCTGTTTCTTTCTCCTCTACCAAATGCGAAGTCTAGCGACCTAAAATACTTTGTTCTTTTGTAATATGTGAGCAAACTTGCCTCTGATGAAGAGAGCTTCTTGCCTCGAAACATGTAGAGCGCTTTAACTTGATCAAAGTATTTTGTGGAGGAAGACTTTGTGTATTCTTTTGGAATTTCAACTCCACTTTGAGACATGGACTACTTCTTCAATTTAGAATCCTAATGGATTCTGCATGTCTCGATTCTTGAATGTACCTTCTTGGCCTCCGCAGCACAATCCGCGTGTGGCCAAATTCACCAAAATGTTGCAATGCCACGGATGCAGTGATATATCGACTTACTAATGCATGCTAATGCCTGTTTAATTTAATACTGCTTTTTCTACCATTTCACCACGGTGCCTATACCAGCTGAATTTAACCACACGGGGTTATCATCATCAGCGAAATTTATCTCTGCAAATAAATTTTCCAGCTCATCCATACTAATTACAATACTTAAAATAAACTTTGCACATCAATGAAATACAGTTCACGTACTGTCACCAATTAGGTTCACGTGCTGTCACCAATAGGTTAGAAAACCAGTCTCAAGGGACGTCTGGACATTCCTCAAGTCAAGGAAGGAAATGTGCCGAAATACGCATGAGCGGCGTAAGGACGCCTTGACAATTTTGACTCTGCAAGGCAATTTAATGCGAAGGTCACCTTCAAGGAATCCTCAGCAGTCAAGTAGGCACTATGAATACCGGACATAGTCATTACCTTTTTATTATTAAAAATAAGATCACCTTACACCTACTAAATAATTTCCTATTGTTTAGAACTTCAAAAATCCAACTCTTTATAGGTGAGTGGATTCCCATTTTCTCGTAGAGTTTGTTTATGTTCACTTGCTCATATGCTCCCTTTATGTCCAGGAATAAGACTAGTGTTTTAATTTTCTCGTGGAAGTTTCTTTGGATCCCCAATGTTAAAAAATCCTGACAGTCGAGGCATCCCTTTCCCCTTTTAAATCCGATTTGTAGAGTTGGTAATTTAAGTTCATTTTCGATTTGCCATTCTATTCTTTTCTTAACAATACTTTCCAAAATCTTACATACACACGATTTCAGACCGATCACCTTATAGCTCTTTGCCTCCCTGAATCAAAAATATCATTAATCCATTCCATTGGTATGGGATTATACCCTTTGGTATACTTTTGTTATATACTTCAATCAAAATCTCCTTCCCACTTCTTGATATTTGTTTGAGCATTGTGTATGAAATCCCATCCATTCCGGGAGCCGAATCTAGTTTTCTGTGTAATACAAACTCTAATTCTTCTAAAGTCACCCTTTTTTCCTCATTCTACCTGGTTTGTTCCATCCTAAATCCAGGATCTGTTTACCAGAAGGAGATTATCAATAGTTTCCTCTCCTAGTACTCTTGGCAGCCCTTCCTTGGTTGGTTTTGGTGTCATCCCGTTTGAAAATGTCTTTATCGTTTTCCATATTTCTGCAACCGGTGTGTTACGATACAATTGATCACAGTACTTTTGGAAACTGGCCCTTTTTTTCATCCTAAATTTCAGTTTAGTTTTTGCTATGCAGTCTTTGATGGTCCAGAAGTTTTCCATGGAATAGTTTTCGGTGAGCCTGTTTACGGCCTTCTTCCTTTCATCCAGCAATTTCTCACACCAAGGTGTTACCTTTTTGTTGCTTGTCTCCTGTTTTTATTGGAATTGCTTCCTCCGCTGCGTCCTGGAGCGCTTTTTCTAGTTCACTGTAGGTTTTAGGTTTTTTTTCTATTCATGCTCTCATTATTCTCTCCTGGTATGATTGCCAATTTGCTTTTTTATAGTTCCTTTTGATTATCTTGTTGTTTTGGATTCCAATGGTCATATTTATTGGTAAATGGTCACTCTTTCCACAGTCTTTAATTCATTTTTATATTATTTTAATGTTCTGATGTAAACGCACCCAAAGCCAGCTAATGCAATTTCTATAGTTGACTTGATTGGACATGAATGGCGCTCGGTTTACACCGGCATCTTTTGATGAAAATCCAAAAATGGGTAGGTACCTAGAACAAATCCCTTTTTTCGGAATAGGTATATTTTGTCAATTTGAGGATTTAAAATGGCTTTTTATGAACTTTTAAATATGGATTATTCAGTTTTATTATTTTTCAATGTTACTAAATTAGTTAGTATTTTTAATACCCATTTGGTATAACGCATCCTCCTTGTGTGATAAAATAAAGATGACGAGATGAACACAACGAATGGTATTTCCACATGGATAATTAAAAAGTCTATACAAAAACCCCTAAAAAAAATATGACCACTCCCCATTGAGGTAGGCTAGGCAATTAAAATATTAAAACAAGAATAATAAATTAACAATTAAAATAGAGCACCTACGTATATTGATTAAATTTAATAACCCTTGTTTTTATCTCAATGTTATTATCACAAATAAAAACAGAAAATGCATTTTGTGTAGGTAATATTAATGGACATCACGTAAAGCCACTCCTCCCAAAGTTTATTTGTAATTTGTAATTTCTGAAATTTGTGCCTTTAAAATCTGAAATTAGTTTTCGATGATGTGTCAACAAATTAATTTAAGGAAACAAAAATTTTAACCCCTTCCCCCTCCACCACCCTGTGCATAAATGTATTTGTCGTAGAACTTAAATGTAAATTATGACCGCGGAAGCTCGTTTAACTTAAAATCTTTAATTACTGAAAGCTCCTCGCCAAAAAGATAAGCGAAAAGTTCCATTAGTACAAGAGAAGAAAATCAAACAAAACAAAACTTTTAATTTTATTTTGATTTTCACTCATTTTGCTAGTCGAGTTGAGAAAATCGAATGTTATAAAAAATTAAGATTTGTAATCTGTAAATAGTGAATAATGTTCTTTGATTGGTTGATTTTTTCGAAATCGGTTTTGTATAGAGCACAAAAATCCTCAAATCAGAATAGGCCCAAATTTGTATTAAACATTCTTCTTCTTCCAATGCGTATCCACTAATGGATATTTACGATAACCTTTTCAATTGCTTCTCTATTCCTCGCGGTGTGTATTAACGACTGAACGACTGCATACTTGCAGGTATAGAGTCTGCGAGGGTGAGGTTGATACCATGTATTTGTCACTCTCATGCTTTCCTCCTGGTAGAGAGAGTCGATCACCCCTCTCGTTCCTTTCTCCAAGACCATACGATCTAACTAACTCCTCGAATTCACCCTTTTCTATTTTGGCATTGAAGTCACCATAATTATGTTGACGTCACGTTTTTTAGTCAATTTTAGAAATTCCTTAACTTCATTATAAAATTTCTCCACATCATGGTCCGACGAGTCCGCAGTTGGTGCGTATACCTGTATTATATTAAGATCACTTAGCTTGGCTCTGAGTTTCAATAGAGCAGTGCGGTCCGAGTATGGAACAAAGTCCACGACAGATTTCAGTAGTTCTTTTGTTATGACAATTCCCTCGCCTTTTCTATGTTTTGGATCGTCATTACCAGAGTAGAAGAATACTCCTTTATCCACATTGCACCTCTCCACACTAGGCCACCAGGTTTCAGCGACACCTAGGATATCCAATTTGAGTCTGCTCATTTCTCGTGTGAGGTTTGCCAGTTTCCCAGCTTCGAATAGGCTTCTTATATTCCATGTTAACATTATTATTACCTATTTGATCGATTCTCTATTAATTTGATTTCCAGAAAATAAGCTTTAAGTCAAAAGTATACCAACTGGCTCAGCACCCAAATTTTATTATTATTGGGTATTATGTCGGTTTATAACGTTTTTCTACGCCTACTCTCCATCTCCTTCGATCTTGAAAATCATCTTCTGTCAGGTTTTTTTTAATCATTGATCTCTGGAGTGACTGCTAGCTGCCATTCCAGTTTAGGACGTTCTCTTTTTCTACACTATGGTTGTCATTCTGGGACTTGTTTTGGTAATCTTCCGTCGTTCATTCGCTGTACTATGGACATACCACATTAGTTGTCTTTTAGCGATGTCATCCGTTAGGTTTCCCTCGTCACCATTTTTTGATGATGATTTCTTTTAAATATTCTCATTGATCTTCTTATGACATCCATTTTGACACTTTCCATTTTTGTTTTGTATTTTTTCTTACGCGAGAAGTCTCTATTCCATACAGCAGCGTACTTTTCACCATTGTGATACTGTTAGGACATCGAATAATCTTTTTTCTTTTGCTACTAATCTCTCAGAATCCTACCATATAATCTACTTAGAGTAGGTACTGATAACTGACATTCCTCTGTAGTTATTGCAATCCAGCTTGTTTCCTTTTTTATGTATTGAGGATATCCTGTACTGGATATCCGTTTATGCCTTGATTGACCATATGTGAGATTTTCTAGGAGTTTTTCTGATCCGTATCTGAGCATTTCAGCGTATATACCTTTAGATCCGCTAGCTTTTTCGGCTAGATTTTTGATACTATTTTTTATCATTTCTTTTTCAATTACATATAACATTTTCTCCATGTACCTACATCTATGTCTTTCCTCAGAGTCCAGAGAGGCTAAGAGATACTTTGGTTTCATTTCCTGCAGTAGTCACTTAAAGTGTTCTGGTTTGATGATCTGAATGTTTGTTTACTTTTTCATTGTTGGGTTTTTTACATTTTGGCCCAAAACCAGTGAAATCCGAAAAAAACATAGGTTATTTTTGGAGAAATATCTAACTTTATAATTTTGGGCCAAAACACCAAAACCATTAATCAGTGATTCAGTTCAATTCATATTGAGAAAATGGGCTCGACAGCCAAATCTTATTTCAAAATACATAGGTACCCAATTACTTGCAAACGCTTTTTATATACTAATTCACATTTTTAATAGGCGGAAAATGTATAATGGAAAATACAACACATGAAAACTGCACCGTTTAGTGGTGAATAAAAAACCTTCCATCAAGGCAACTTTAAATAGGGACAAAATAAGAAGGATATTAATTGATAATTAATAAAAAATCAGGTAAATTTAAAATAAAATGCATCATAAAATTAATGGGCAATGGACGATTGCGCGCCGCGGTCAGAAAATTTTTGAGGTACCACTAGTACCACGGGCCAATAGCGCGCCGAACACCTTTCACGACATGAGACAATTGCGCGCTCACCTCATTCTTTGGAAATGGAAACTATAAAGAGTTGAAGGAAAACACATGGTATGAAGAGGAAACTTTTATTTTATTTTTTCATATGATATGCTTTTTATGAATTCGAAGGTTGTTATTTCCTTACTTTTATATAAAGTAATCAAATTGGTTATATAATCCTGACGTTTTTCATAATTGAGGTTTCCGTGGGACACTGGTAAAAGTACGCTGTTTATTTCAATATGAACTGAGCATCCAATAAGACAGCCAAAAATCTAAATAACTATATCTGGATGAGAAAAATAATAATCTGAATTGAAGTGGCCATGGAATGACTTACAAATGTTTGTCGCTCTTTCATTAGTACTATCACAAGATGCCCATATTTCTGGCGGAAAAAGAGATTCATCAGAAATACATTTCTCAACCAAGTAACCTGTATATTCAGTGACACGTGCATTTTGGGAATGTGGGCGTACAAATCTTCAGCAAACACATTGCCATGCGGATGATTGTGAAACCGGTTTTCTTCAGTAATACTTCTTCGCCTCTGTCAACGGAAATAGATGATGAACAACTTTATTTCGTACATCTATAAATAACCGACGAAATTTCCCTATATCGTTACGAAATGATAATGATGAATACTAAATGCTTAATTATATTTAAATTTCTGCTATTTGAACTAAAAGGGTGGGTGGGCAACCTCCTGCCGGCATAATTATTACCAGGTATGTACCTAATTTGCATTCCACGCGCAATCGTCCCCTGCCCTTTTTGGGTGATAAGCTGAAGATATCAGTCCTTCGGCGCACAAATGACCTATACATGTATCCAAATCAATATAGATTGCAAGAAGAAAATGTAACAACAATTTATTTATTATTATATTTATTTTTTAGTTATGGCCATGTGGTTACAGCTTTTCGTTATTTTTCTATTATTTTGTAACTGGTTCCTGGACACGAACGAAAGAATTATTTCGGATATCGACGACGATCTAGATTTCATAATTGACTCGCCTATAAAAGAGCGTCTGCCTTTTCGACCAAGCAGGTAACATTTTTTTTCGTTTTATATAATTGAAAGTGGAAAAATATTTCTTAGAGCAAACTTAAACCCAAAAAAACCTCTACCCACTCTAATTCTAAGGATTTTAGGAAAAATGTTTGGATATATTTACCCATTTTTAACCAGAAAATGAGAAACTGTATGTAGAATTTTTGTTGTAGAACTATCAAAGAAGATTTGAAACCTAGAGCAACTCGAGTCCGATCGAATTTATTTTCCGCACGTGGGTATGGAAAAAGGGATAGCAAATCGGATATGGGATTGTCGAGTGCTAGACGGTTTGGTAAACGAAATGAACAGAGAATTGACTCGTATTTGTGGTAAGGATATTTTAGTGCTTTCCACATTACTCTTAGGACATTAATATATTTTATGTCGTCGTTTATTAATAAATGTTTACGACGTCTCATTATAATGCATAAGTACTCATTATTTTCAAAATTGAAAATCTAGATATATATTTACTGTTTGAGTCAATGCCTACTTACTTTCTCTAATAGGATTCGATTCATGTACGAGTTCAAATATAATCCGCCACAAAGACATATTGTCGGTTAACCTTGTTAACCAATTCATTTGTAGACATGCATTTGAGTGACTTCCTACTAAGTGCACTCCAAATTCTATTATTTCTATTGTCAATAGCAATTTATAGCCTTGACGTCACAGGAATAATTAGATATAAACGATAGGGAATTGACCGTAAATTTCTGGAAATTCCCCATTTTACGAATGCGTTTTCCATATTTATTTATTTTTTCAGCGAAATCAATATGCAACGAAAACACCTTCAGAAAATAAAAAGGCAATTTAACTTTTTCTCATGAACCACCCAGAAGTAGGTATTTGAAAGATTGCTGAAAGTTTCGCTAGTGTTATTGAAAATAAATCTAATTTTTGGGATTGCTTACATTTCTGTTTCTTTTCTATTTCTTGTTGTTATTGTTTCTATAAGCATAAAATCAAAGTTTGAAACTACCTATAAGAATGTACCTATACAGAGCGTCAATTTAAAACCTTGCAATAACTGTCCCACAGAGGAATTTTTTTCTGTTTCCTAATATTTTGTTCATATCTTTTAGTATAATAACCAAATGCAAAAACTACTCAAGAACCCTCAACATCGATGAAGACATTGTCAGTTTTTTAGAGGAGAAGCACCAAGCTCCTCGGGATGAGGATGTAGCGTTAGAAGACTGAGATCTAGTTCACAAGTGAATGCTTTGTAAATTGGAAACCATATTATTTCCCGATATAGAAAACAAAAATGTGTCAAAACAAAGCATACCTACCTCTTGTTTGTTATTATGGACTTAACCTGAACGTTGTACTGATATCTATAAAGTTATACTTAATTATAGTAGTATTTTTGCTGTTACCATTGACAAAAATATGTAACTTAATATTAAAATATAATAGCAAATGAAAAAAATGAATATGTACCTAGGCTAAAAAAGCAATAAACTTTGAAAAATAACTATGTTTTGAGAGTGATATTGGTTTGTTATTATTTGAAACCCTAACACACTAAATTGTGTAGCTGAACAAAAACACATATTTTTAAATTATCGTAACATAATGTTTATTTTTAATATATCCACATTCAATTTTGTATACGCCAATATTGTGTCTTTTTCGAAGAGAAAATAGAAGGTAAGTGGTATATCAGACTAGGGGTGCTACTGCTGATATAATTTTTTTTTATGTAAAATGTAAAAAAAAAAATAGGTAGGTATAGAATAACTGTAGTATTCAGTTGACTTGTAGTGAATAGAAAAAAACCTTTTTGAAAAGCTCCATAGGGTGTCATTTCAAGGTCTGCCGACGTTTCATTCCCCGCAGGGTCCACCATCTTGGTACTTTTCCGCTCCAATCAGTTATGTGAACAAAGTTGCAGAGCTGTTTTTAATTATATAGCATCCTCGCTAAGTACTCTATTATTCAGGTTAGATGGTGAATCCACCTATCTTTTATTACCTTGACTGCGCACGCAACTCGTGGGCTACAGGTGAGCATCCAATGAAAAGCGAGTTTGTTACGGGCTTGCGTCATATTCTTATTCAGGTGCCAGTTCAGAATTAATCGCTCCTTCTTTCTTTGTAACGTGTATTTTGACAAAGAGCAAACTAATACTTTACGTATTACTTCTGAACTCACCGCAGTGTTGTTTAAAATTATGTCAGATTATACTTGACATATTCCTTTGGACTTTTATTGTGCAATGTTGCCGGATGAAACATTTATCAAAATAAAAGTGCCAACGATGTGAACATACACTTTAAAGCTCTTCTTCTATCTGATTTAAGGCGATGTAAAACACTTAACACTATATCACTTCTTTAACGTTATAATGTTCGATTTGTATTGTCTACATTTGTTCTGCAACAATACAAACTGGCTACACTGAAATCCACTAGTTGCGCGCGCATGTCATCTCTTATTACTTTCTAACTTGTATTTATTACAATTAAGCTCTCTTTTTCTATTTATGCGAGACAGGTCAATTGCGAGCGGTCGTATGTGATGGTAATTATATTTCCTTGGGCAGCTACTGAAACATAAAATTGTGGGGGCGGATCTATTGGCAATTGAAAGAAACAACTGATTTATGGTTAGCCGTTAATAAATATACTTTATTAATGAGAAAATAAACAGATTTTCATTTCCAATAACAATGGTACAAATTTTCTAAACCCTAATCCAATACCTTTCTAAACAAAAATAAACAATTCTAAATTGATGCTAACGTACAGCCACCTCTACACTGTCTGTGAGCTTGTCAATCAAATGATGCAATCAAAAAGCCCTTTACTTTAATAACACTTTCATATAGCCCTACTTCGTTAGGTACAATACTTTTATCCCATTTTGACGTTTAAAAATGACATTATTGAACGCATAATGACAAAGGTAAGTAAACGTTTATCACCTGAGTGACTTAAAATATTTTTAACTTACTCTCGGTCTTTTAAGTCACTCTGCCAGTATAAAAATCTGCTACAAATACAAACAAACAACTAGTTATACCTTAGCAACCACCAATTTCAATAATTAGCGCTTTCATAACTACTAAATGAATTCTTTTTATAATTTGATTCCTATTAAGTACCTTATTTTTTAAATGTCCATCAAAATGGGATAAAATTTTGTATAAATCACGTGAGTTAAAATGTTTATTCATTCGAAGAAAATTAACCCACTCGCTAGGGCTCGTGGGTTAAACTTTCTTCTCATGAATAAAAATTCATTTAACTCACTTGGTGTATAAATAACTATTAAATCCTAAACACCTGTTACACCTCGAAACAATAATTCATAATTTAAAGTATGTGTTTTTTTTAAAGATAAAAGTCAAAATGACATTATGTTGGCAATACAATGTGTAAATACTATCAAAACAATGAACATTTTATCTAAATTCATTTAATTAGAAACCAAAATACCTACCTAATCATTTACTAGACGGAACAATACTGTCAATTCGATTATCCAAACTCTTCAGTAAAATTCATTTCAATTAACAGTCATTTGAATTAAATTTTTCTATTTGTATAGATTATGCAATAAAGTTTCAAAGTCAATTACATATAGTCGGGGCGGGTAATCAAAAAAATGGGCAGAATCTTGCAAACTGTGATAAAAGCATGAAATTTCGTACAGATGATTTTTTTACAATTATAAGCGATTTGTGATTGAAAGCGATTGAAAATGTAAGAAAATATATAATTAAGTGATTGAAATTTGAATAATACAGGGTGTCCCAGCCGAGAGTGACCCATTTCAAATACTCATAACTTTTGATCCAAGTATGCTAGCCACCTGCGGTTTGCGCCATTCGACTTCTCTTGGCCTAAAGTTTCTTTTTTCGTTAGTTGCTCATTTTTTTGATACTTATACCGGGCCAGTAAAGGAGCAAGATGGCGCCCATTCGCAAAATGGCGGACCAAGAAATTATAATTTTTAATTGTGGATCGATTTTATCAAAATGAGGGTCGTTTTCGAATAATTTTGGGTCAAAAAATACAACAGAACATGTTTTTTGTATTACAATATAATCTTAACTCAGAAAAGATTGTTTTTTAAATTTTTTTGAGGAATTAACTATAGGTAGTTATTTTCAAACTATGTAAAAAAAAACAAAATGTAGGTATCAAAAACTTTTTTCAGCACGCATTGGCATGCGGAAAGAGTAATTTTTCCGCACTGGTGTGGAATTTTTTTTTTCACACGTCGTCGCGTTGTGTTGACGTACGATATGCATGAGCGATAAATTTACAATTTGCTGAAAATTTAATATTCACCATTAAAATAGTTAAACATAAATAAAAAATGTTGTTAATTGCCTAACATAGATTTATATGTTTTTTTATTTTATGATTTTTTATTGTCTGCTCATAGGAAAAATTGTGTTCCTAACATTTGCGGAAAAATGATATTTTCCGCACTTGTTAGGAAAATAACTATTTCATTAGAAAAATAGTTATTTATTATACAAGGGAAAAAAGTACTAGATTTTAGCGCGAGGTGTGGTTTGTCTCCCGACGCGAAGCGGACGGAGACAACACAGCAAGCGCTAAAATCTTACTTTTTTCCCATGTATAATACACTATTTTTTTCTGTGACGGGAAAATCTCAACATTTTCCATCTATACATTATTCCCTTTGAGAAAAAAATTTAACTGGTACCTGTTACTTTTTTCCCTCGGGAAAAAAATTGACTGGTACCTGTTACTTTTTTCCCGTTGGAAAAAAAAAAATCACTTTTTTCCCATGGGAGAAAAAGTGACATTTTTGCCCCTGTCAACAGGTAGAAAAAGTCTACTCTTTTCCCGTCAAAGAAAGAAATATTTTTTAAATTAATCCATAGATAATTAATTTTTAGTTCGCTAAATTCCACATCCTTTCAGCACCCCTACCCTCTTGCACACCAACCCTCTTCCCGTCGCCGATCACTCGGTACATTATAGGTACGTAGTAATTTAGGTGTAAAAATACATTCTGTTGATAACATTTCTAAACAGAGGTCATAAAAATTTGAAATATACAGATTATACAGGGTGTCCCAGCCGAGAGTGAACCAAATCAAAAAATAAACTGCTGTTTTTCAACATGGAAATTCTCCACTATTTCTAATAAGACACAAGACACCCTGTATATCACAATATCACAACGTCAAAATAAGAATCGTGTTCAAGGTATCCATGTACCAATGAACATCGTCCTTGAAGCTTAAAGTTTTAGCCGTAAAAAATTAAAATCGAAATCCTGGTACCTACTTATTTTTGCAAACGCATGCAACTACATGTTGGAGTGTATCTTATATGAGATCTATTTTCAGCAGGATGGTGCCCCACCTCATTATTCATTATTCTTTAATATCAAGAGAATCACTAGATATGATATTTGGGAAAAGATGGATATGGGAAGAGGTGGTTCTATAGAATGGGCACCTTTACTCTCCTGACTTGAAAGTTCCAGACTTTTTTCTCTGGGGTTATATCAAGGAGAGTATAATCTTTTGCCAAATAGCCTGGAAAATCTTAAGTGGAACATTCGTGATGTCATTGAAACGATTCCTCAGAAAATGTTACATAATTCCTTCAACCATTTACTGATCCGACTCCATAAATGCATGGAGCAAAATGGCCAACATATGCATCTCTTTTTACAGTTTTATCCAGATTATTACCTTTTTATGAGACAAAGATAATTTCGAAGCTTTATGAATATGCTAATAAAAAATGCGTTTGCAAAAATACCAAGGATTTCGATTTAATTTTTTTACGGCGGAAACTTTAAGTTTCAAGGACGATGTTTATTGGTACATGGATACCTTGATCATGACTTGTTTTTTTGACATTGTAATATACAGGGTGTTCCATTGAAAATAGTGGAGAATTTCGATGTTGAAAAACTGCATTTTCTTTACTGGCCCGGTATAAGTATTAAAAAATTGAGCAACTAACCAAAAAAAAAACTTTAGGCCAAGAGAAGTCGAATGACGCAAACCGCAGGTGGCTAGCATACTTGGTTCAAAATTTATGAGCATTTGAAATGGGTCACACTCGGCTAGGACACCCTGTATTATTCAAATTTTAATCACTTAATTATATATTTTCTTACATTTTCCGATCAAAAATTATTCGAAAACGACTCCAATTATTCTGAAATCGATTCACAATTACCCATTTTAACCTCTTGATAGCCGCCATTTTGCAAATGGTCGCCATCTTGCTCCTATGGGTCCAACAAGGGGGTCATGCGGGTCAAATCGCTTATAATTGTAAAAAAATCATCAGTACCAAATTTCATGCTTTTATCACAATTTGCAAGATTATTCGACTAACCGCCCCGACTAATAGTCATTTCAATCATTGATAAAGTCAAAATAAAACTTGTCTCTAGAGAATTTACATTTAAATTATCGCCCTAAAGTCACTTAATTATTCTAATGTAGCGCCCGCCCTAA